GATCTGGTATCCCATGATCACCTCTTGGCAAAACTAGCTAACTGTGGCCTCGGCCTCACCACGATCTGCTGGCTGGGGAATTGCTTCCATGGTAGGACCCAGAGGGTGGTGGCTGACAGAAGTTGATCATTGTGGTGCGCCATGACCAGTGGGGTCCCTCAAGGCTCTGTCCTAGGGCCTATGCTATTTAACATCTTCATTAATGATGTAGACATTGGTGTCAGAAGCAGAATGACCAAGTTCGCCAATGACACCGAACTCTGGGGTAAAGCATCCACACCTGAGGACGGGAGGGTGATCCAGGCAGATTTTGACAGGCTCAGGAAATGGGCAGATGAGAACCTGGTGGTGTTTAACACCGAAAAGTGCAAGGTTCTCCACCTTGGGAGGAAAAACATGCAGCGTGCTTATAGGCTTGGCAGTGCTATGCTGGCTAGTACTATGGACAAAAGGGACTTGGGGGGTCATGACTGACCACAAGATGATCATGGGCCTTCAATGTGATGCTGCGGCTAGTAAAGCAAGCAAAACCCTGGCTTGCATCCATAGATGCTTCTCAAGCAAATCCCAGGACATCATTCTCCCACTGTACTTGGCCTTGGTGAGGCCGCAGCTGGAGTACTGTGTCCAGTTTTGGGCTCCACAATTCAAAGAGGATGTGGAGAAGCTTGAGAGGGTCCAGAGAAGAGCTATGCACATGATCAGAGGTCAGGAAAACAGACCTTATGACGAGAGGCTGAGAGCTATGGGAGTCTTCATCCTGGAAAAGCGCAGGCTCAGGGGTGATCTGGTGGCCACCTATAAGTTTATAAGGGGTGTTCACCAGGATCTGGGGGAATGTTTGTTCACCAGAGCGGTTATAAACTCCTGCAAGACCATTTCAGGCTGGACATAAGAAAGAACTTCTTTACTGTCGGAGCCCCCAAGGTCTGGAATAGCCTGCCATGGGAGGTGGTTCAAGCACCTACTTTGAACACCTTCAAGGGAAATCTGGATGTTTTTCTTGCTGGGATCCTATGACCCCAGCTGACTTCCTGCCCCTGGGGCAGGGGCCTGGACTCGATCTTCTGAGGTCCCTTCCAGCCCTAATGCCTATGAAATCTATGTAACTTCATAAGTGTATGCATGCAACGTTTAGAAATACTGCCAAAACTCAGAGTAAAAAGAAAAAATAAGCACTTTCCTTCTTCCAGAGGAGGGAGAAACTTGCCAGCTGAGGCCTGAGAGTATTTTCTTCAGGATGTAACTGCTATCTGTACTTTGGAAGCATGTGTTTGTGAAGATAGCCTTCACAAGGTACAATGATGCAGAACAGTAGTGTGTGCAAATTCACACACTGAGTTCTAGCACTTTTGCTGATACTCACAATTTTGCCAAATAACAGCATCATGACATTAGCAAGAGTCTGCTGACTTTTGCTGTTGCTGTTCTGAACCCTAAGGGTAGCAGCAAAGTTATCTAAAACAATGTCAGCTTCATCTGCTACTCTTGCCGAAGAGCTATGAATAGTAGTAGACAGCACTGGTGTGTACAGAGAAGGATTCTAAAAAGACAAGCACCCTCCCCTTATCACATGCAGCAGCGCCCTGGCTGTGCAACTGCAGAGTAGCAAAGAGCATCCTTTTCCTGTAACCCACGAGAAGCAGGACACTGCTTTGGGATAGAAGAAAGTACTCTTTTTCTTTCCAGAAAAGGGATATTGGTAGATTTCAAACATTCACTAGCCAAAAAACCAAGAAAAGGTCTTGACAGAATCCCATCACATTTGTCCATGAATCATCCCGGTACCCCCCCCCATCCAAAATCATTTTCATATCAATTTATGGCTGTAAGATTAGAAGTATTCAGTGTATTGATTCTCCATGCCTTTGTTTCCTTTTTTATATTTGGCAGGGTATATAGCACTTTAAGACTTCAAAGAAGTACATGAAAGAAATTAAAAGGTTCAGTGACTAAACTCAACCCAAGTTCTTTGCTCAGGGCCATGGGACAGAAAGTTTCTTCCTGCTAAAGCTTGCAATGTCACAGAAACTGAGACTCCTGGAGCCTCTCTGATAAATGCTGCAGTATTTTTTGCTGTTATTTTTGCTATTGGATTATTACCAGAACATCATTGCAGATATCCTGCAATTCAGCCTCAATTTTCTCACGATACTCTCTTCCCATCTGCTGTTTCTTCTCATTCCTCTCTGTTTTCTGTTCAATGCTGGAAATGACACGCCAAGAAGACCGACGGGCACCAACCACGTTCTTATAGGCAACAGAGAGTAGATTCCTTTCCTCATTGGAGAGTTCATGTCCTTGCTCAGTAACAGCCTTCATTGCAGCAGCCATATCATCATAGCGCTCGGCCTGTTCAGCCAGTTTGGCTTTCTGTACCAGCTCACTTTTATCCATTGTTATTCCTGAAAAAGGAGAAAATTAAAATAATACCTTTTGAGAACACAGGTTGTTGAAAGTGGATGGTGAAGTTAAAAAGAAAAGTCTGAGTCACAAGACTTTAGTAAGTGTGACTTTCATTCCAACACCCCCCCCCCACACACACACAGCAGTGACTTGCTAGAAGGGTTATTAAGTTTTTGTTTTGATTATTACTTCACATAAAGAAACCTCTTCCATTATGTTTCAAAGGCTGCAGCCAGCCAAATCAGTCTTGAAAGAACTCTAACACAATCCCTTCAAATACAACAAAATACATGATTTCATATATCAACCTGTTCCCCACACAGATCACTCCTGTATGCCCTGCTCATGACCTCATTACAAGAAGTCCCAGAGGAGAGGGTGCACTTTCAAACTCAGAAGAAAGCCAGTTCTTATGCCCTTCTGTAACAGGAACAATGTTGCTACAATCTAAGAATCTGAAACACTGGACAGCTCCTGTTGTCATTCTACACCTTTATTGGACACACTGAAGTCACATGTAATACTTTTGTACATGATTAAAGAGCTGAATGAAGCTGTAATACCTGGAAACAAAAGATGTTTTACACTGCTCTGCCAGGAACATTACTCAGGTATTTCTCTACATAAGTTTGTCTTCGAAGTGTCAAGCCTGATGCTTACGCTAATGCTATAAAAGCAGGGGTTTTCAACCTTTTTTAATAAATGTACTCCTGGCAGCCCCCTTTTTAGTAAGTGTACCCTGGGGGGGGGGCAGAGCAGGGGAGGTATCCCCAGTTGACAACCCCTGCTGTAAAGTATGGAGGACTGCAATGGGGCTGACCTTTTTGGCACGCATGCCACAAATTACCCGTGCACCCTCCATAAGAGCATCTCTGATCCCCTTCCCCTGGGCCAAGCAGATGCTCTGATTTTTGCTCCTTGCTCTAGCTTTTCCATTTCTTAAGTCACAGGACAGTGCCCTAACTACCAGGCTATTAGCTATACCAGGGAGGTATAGCTCCTTCCTATAGAAACTGTCCCACTTCACAGACCATTTTACATGATAGCTCTTGTACCAGAACCAGAACCCAAGCAGGCACACCAACCATTAGGTTAGCAAACCATGCTTAATCTTGTTTACTAAGCTAACTTTGATTGTGGATCTAGCACTGAGACACATGCTCAAAACAAACTTGTTGCTAAAAGATGTTTCCTGAAAGAGAGTGCTTTTGCGCGCACAGTTCCATAGTTGTCCAGTTCTGTGCCGAGGAGTACTTCCAAACCAGAAGCATTTAGCACTTTAAAGTGTCAAACTGTTAGTCTTTGTATTGAACCTCTCTCTCCAAGACAGATGATGTATGGACAAGAACACTGCAATTTAACTTTTAATGCTTCATTAATGGCGCCATCTCTCTCAGGATGGATCTCCTCTAAGGACACACAGTAGTTGGTTTACATTACACACTAGCTTTTGCAGACTACAACATACCAACTGATGGGGGGGGAGGGTTATTCATAATACAAAGGGAACTTTCTACTAGGAAGTGCGTTAGCTTAATATGAGAGACCAGTCAAATGGCAGCAGCTTTTGATTACTATTACCACCACATGAACCAACTCAATTTTTACCCCAGGCTCTGTATTCCAAGCCAATAAGCCATCCTTTGCTTTCCAGACAGCTCTCAAATTACTGATTTATATACTCCACCTAGTAAGTACTTGCTCTCTAGTGACCTTCTGCCCAATCTGCAGGGTACCACATGATGTTAATATCACAGTGCTTTTTATACTACATGAAAGCCAACCATAAGCCAGTGGACCCGCATAGTTGTGAGATGTTCTTATTTCCTAAAAAAGCTGTATAGCCACTAGAAACATTTTGACTGTAGTTGCTCAAAGTTTACCACCATTATCATGTGATCTGGATGTTTTGTTTTACAGAAATACTCCACATACTGAAATTTAAGGGCAGCTTGCTGAGGCAGTTGTCATTTCACCATTAAATTGATAGTGTTACATTTGATCTGTATTTTTCCAGCAGTGCTTTAATTTGTGAAACAAGTCACTTTTACAGAGCTGAGTTTAGGAACTGCGCAGTCCTATTAGTACGATGCTTACTGATATATTTATCTTTAAATGCAAGTCCATGGCAGTTACAGAGTTCACTTAAAGACATATTGGAAGAAGCAAAGAGGGAATTCAGCAGGCATCAAAAGCCACTGGGTAAAAGTGCAGGTACAGAAAACAGCTTTGGCTGAGCAGTCTATTTGTCAAATATGAGCACAAAATATACAGACACGTTTTCATCATCTCTCTTTCCTTAGCAATTTATCCAACTAAATTATGTGCCTGTCCTAAATACAGTCTTAAGCTGCTTACTAAAGTCTGAGGTCCAATTAGAACTGCATTTGTCTATTTTTGCCAAAAATTAAGGACAGTGTTTGAGCCTCAAGTTATGCCTTGATCTGACTAGTCAAGTAGCTAATATCTGCCTTGTCAGGTTTGCTACTGAACTACGAACTACTGTTCAGTAAAATTAACAAGATTCAAATGCTACAAACTTCTTCCAATAAAGGCAGACATTTCTCCACACCAAAACGCTCGTAACCTGGCAGTGAGCCTACTAGCACTTTCACAAGGGTCAAACAGAAACGGAAAACGGTCAGAATCTTATTCTCCATTGCTTACCTTGTTGGAAGCCTGGAGAAAGGTTTTTTGCAGAGCTATGCTGGCTTGTGCTCCATTGTTCACCAGAAGAGAAAAAATACAAGGAAAGAAGTGACATTTGAAAAAACTAAAGCAGCATCTATAACCTGTCCCTCTCATAAAGAAACTGAAAGCAATGCTCCAAGTTTACAATGGATTAGTGTAGTGGTCTTTCAAGCTTTTGGCCCCAAGAGCCAGTTGAGCAGCAAGGGTCCAGTCTACAGGCTGAAGCAGACTCTTTGGCACCAGGGTTGGGCCCTGGGGCTGGCACCACTCCCTCCCACCCCCATCAGCTGAGACTGAGTACCCAATCCAGTATGCAAGGCCCAAGGCTCCCCCCAGGGGCTGGATAACATGGTGCCAGATCCGGCCTGTGGGCCAGGGGTTCAGCATCCCTGCATTAGCGTGCCATAGCCTGGAACACACATCTTTGGGAGGCCCATAGTTGAAACTGTTTGGAGGCTACAAACGCAAGTCATCTAGTGGGAATCATCTGCAGCAATTATCAACATATACCAGTAACTGGAGTTGAAGACTGGCAGGGACTGTTTAATACAGCACTGACGGTCATGCCATGTATGTGGGTAGTTACAGCCATGGAAGACATAAGATCAAGAACAACATTTGCTAGTTCTAAGCAGAAACTGCTCGCTAGAGGAGTGGCCCTAGATTGGATTTCTTAAAATAATATGGTGTCTGACCAAAGGTAAAATATGTTTGTAAAATAGGTCTGTAAATTGTATTTATAGTGGCCTTGGTTGCTTTAGATAGGAAGAAAAGTTAAAAGCACAGGAGGACAAGGCCAGCTTAAAAAGGGCACCTAACTTCAGAGTATACTCACAGAACTGCAAGTAAAGAGGTGGAGAAATGAAATTAAAGTGTTAGTGACTGATAAGGAGTAAAGATGGGTAGACATTCTATTCCCCAAAACATTACGTTGAAATAAACCACTTTTTAAGCTTGAACCACCTGGCAGCAAACATGCCAGCATTCTGGCATTGCTACTTCCAACTCTCCATCATCTATTTAAGTCCAAGTCAACACAGATCAGAAGTAACTGCATTTAAACACCGTAGAAAGCAAATGAAAAACTGACACTGAAGAGATCTGACTTATGCAATATACTTAACTGGGAAGACAATACTAATAAATTTCCATCAGTCTGAAATCTGCTGTTCTCAAGGACCTTTTTTAAATTGTATTTCTGTAGAGCAAGCACTAGAACTAATTAGTCATGCACCTCTCTATTAGAGAAAGAAAGTAATGTAATTATTGGTTTAAAAACTTTAACACACAGGTCACTAAGGCAACAGGCAAAAAAGTGGATTAATACCTTAACCTTTCCCCTCTGGAGAAGTTCAGTTAAATCCACCCTTGGTCAAGTGATAAAATTGTATACCTTTGAGAACAAGGCCACCAGTTTGCAACTGGAACAAGCAACAGGCCTATACTGGAGGAGGCTGCATACTAAAAACCAACATCATTTGGCTATCTCACATTGGATTTTAGCTAGGGACTTCGTTAATATGGCAAAACACCCAAACAGAAAAAATCTATATATCAAGCAAATGGTACTTATGCAGTTTCAAAGCTCAGTTCTACAAGTCAGAAACTTAAATGGGGATTCAGATTACCAAGACAACCATCTATAAAACAGAAAGGAACAAAAGAGGTTCCTTCAGAGGACAGTCACATATCTGTCAATAGTTTTACAGTATCAGTATATAACGTGTATAATATACCAGGGCTCCTCAACCTCTGGGTCCAGAGGACAAATGCAGCCCACAGAGCCTTGGAATCTAGTCTGCAAGGGTCCCCATGAGTTAGGAAATTCGGCTGTGGGGAAATGATAGCCATTAATATGGCCACCTTCCCCCCCTGCCAAACTCCAAGCCTTGCACATCCAGTTAAAGCTGGGCTGCACCCCCCTGCCTCTTCCCATGGGGATGGGTTGGAGTCATGCCATGACTCTTCCCCCCCCACCCCCCAGGGCCAAGCCAAGCCCCCTTCCCCATCCTGCAGTGCCAGGTTGGGAATGGATTGGTTCCCACTCTCCTCCACGTGGCCAGATGATGCTCACCATGCCTGCCAGATTGGAATCACCAACCAGATCCAGCCTCCAGGGGAAAAAAAGGTTGAGCCCCACTGACATACACTATGCCACAGGCATCACTGCTTATGGGTTCTCTATTATAGAACTGGAATGGCTTTGTTTCTCAGCACCTTCCAAATAAAACACAAGGAGTCCTGTTTGCGCCCTCCCCCCACTTAAAAAAAAGTAGTGAGCCTCTTGCTTAGCCCCAAGTTGTGCTCTTTATCTTGACTTAGGAAATTTAGGAATGGTGAAGGAGAGCACTGGAAACTAAATAGATTATTCATCAACATTTCTCATTCATTTCCTTTCCACAAAAATACCCTATGCATCACTTAAAGTTAATGGAAATAGAATGCTTCCCCCAAATAGCACATGTATTGCTAAAAATGACTTCCCAGGCAAATATATGTGCCCTGTAAGGTTTATATAAGCATTGAAAGCTTGCCTGCCTTCTACTACTACAAGTCAGGATTACGCTACAAGTAATAAAGTGTATTCTGCATATCCTCTGGCTTTAAGAGAGGCAGCACAGCACCAGGCACAGCCCTCCTCCTTGTCTTTGTGACATGAAGCCTCACTAGCCTCCCAAGTATGCCAGACTTGTTTTTTTCCAGCAAACCTTCCACTTTGGCCTTCAACCCAAATGCTGCCCCATACTTTCACATTATCTGAAGAGAAAAGCCAGTAAAGTACATCTAATGAACTTTTCCTAGACAGCCACCACCCTCCCCTACGTCATCTTTCTCCATCTTTGACACCTCTTATAATGCTCTTTGTCATGTAGGTTCCTGGGAGCAGGGCCATTCTGTTCTGTTGAAGTCAATATGCACATATATGCATAAAGACAGCTGTAGGTGGAGACAGGAATACAGCTCTTGCATACAATACACTTAATATGGTTACACTTTTTTGTTCCAGCTAGCATAATTGTTTTTGGCTAGCATCCAGATGGAAGTAGCGAGTTTTCCAAAAACAAAAACACTTTTCCCTCAGGTGTAAAATTTATGCCAAAACAAAACATTCATAGCAGAGGTAAATCACCTTCAGCAACAATAAAGTGAGAGCATTTATATTATGAGGTGGGATAAAACTGTGGCAATGAGAAACCACAACATTATAGGGCTTTAGTTTTATTATAATGTGCTATTATGGCACTAGGTGAATAAAAGTACTAGTTTTTTGTTGCTTCATAATTCAAATCTGTGCTTGTGCTACAACTCAGTTACATCCCAGTTGATTTGCACACATCATAAAAGCCATGTTCTTGTCCAAATCTGCTTAAAAAACCCTCAGCCCTAGAAAAGCAAGGTTACTGCAGATCAGAACATAGTATATTGATACAGCTGTGTTAGAAGGATTGCAGGGGGCTCCAAATGTTCTTTATATTTCACCCACTGGTACTTAACACAACATCTTTAATAAAGATAAAACTTAAAATATGATTATACGGTAAGGATGCTTTCTTTGCAATCCTATTTGTAAGAGGCCCACAACCTTGGGCTGCAAGCAGTGAACAAAACACTGTTTCCCCTATCCTGCACCTCTAGATTATAGGGATAAAGTGCATCCTAAACTGACAAGGATACATTTTTAATACACTCTGCTTTGAAGGAAAAAAAAATTTAAGAAGCAATAAAAAAAGATACTGAAATCTTCTAACTAAAGGCCACTGCACATGTGAGATTTCTGACTTAGGTAACTGAACCTCTCCTAAAGCTGTAAGATTTTACAAGCTAACATTTCCAAGCTATTTAATAGAATTTAGCTTTAAAAGCATAACACAACACTCATTTTGCTCCTCTACTACTGTGTTACTATAACTTCACTAAATGGAAGCACTTATCCACTTGCTGGGAACCATTACTTAGATGAGACTCTGCTGGCGGTGTATCTGCGAGAACACTGGGATGCTACTGGCTACAAATGCTTCCAAGCAGGTGCTGGGGATCGTTATGAGCTCTAGACACTATTTAGCATTGGGCCCTGGGCTAAAAGCACCTTTGCCTGTCTGGCAGCCTCCCCAAATCCAGCTCTGTTTTAAACAGAAAGGAAAAAAGAGAGAAACCTTTCCCCCTCTCCTGTATTTGTATCTCACTCTATACAGCTTTCAAGACAGGCACCTGCACCCCCTTCCCCTCCTGGCTGGAGATCTCTCTGGAATATCCTCCCTGAAAGAGACAGAAGAGCACCCCACCCCCGGCACTGGCAGAGGCCGCGAGGGGACCTCAGCCCAGGAAGCCATTGGAGGCACGTCCCAAAGCTGTGCCCGGGGAGGCCTGGGCGAGGGCAGGGCTGGCGCTGCGCCCGGCCGAGGAGACCGGGCCCC